TCGGAAACCCAAGGAGGGGTCGCTATGAGTCAGGGCTGACTCGACGGCACATAACAACAACAACAACCCACAAGCTCCCAAGAACGAGATTCATATAAAGAATGATGATCAAGGGAAATATCACTGCATTATTAGCTCTCTGGTGTTGGGCAAAAATATATGACCTCTTTCTTCCTCCTATGTCAAACCCAATCTTGGAATCTTACTACAGTCCAGCCAGCCACTTAGAAGGACAGAAGAGCGTGCTGAGGCTGGGTCATGCCGTGCCAGCCACATAGACACACAGTCATACTCACATCCACAGCCTTTAAAGGAATGACCCTGTCTACTGGTAAAGATGACCCACTTATCCAGGAATCTGACCAGTTAGGTTGAGGACCAGTTGAGAGATTGGGGTGGGACTTCCGCTGGGGTGGGAGGAAGAGCAGAATGCTTCCTTTCTCACTGATGTCTGCAGTTCCTAAGTCCTTCTCTTTGGGCTGAGAACAGGTGCTAAGTTTTGCTCATTTGGTGTCCCCAATAACAGAATGCCCGCTACACATAATTAAAGAGTGTTTAATTATTTTTGAATGGGCACTAACTCAGTATATTTTGGGGACAGTGTGACTTTGATACGCAAAGTATCAATATTGAATGGTGTATTGTATCTTCTTTCCTGGAATGATGCTGTTGGTACCCAGTATTAAATGATATTCTATGTATTATATATTGGGAAACTCACAACACTATACATCATGGGAAAATTCATATTCAGTTCAATAGAGGGTCTGTCAATGTATAATAACAGAATAATTGTTTGAGCTGAAATTTCAGATATTCCACATTCATTATGAAATGGAATAAAAACAGGTTGCAGGATGTTCTCGTCTGCCAGAGTTCCTGACAGTCTTTATTTTGCATGTCTTAAATAGTTATCCCAAGACAGAATTTCCAGACTTGTTATCGATAGTATTTTGGCACATATTAACTATGCTTCCTCTAGCCCTGAGGACCAGAGTCCCGGAAAAATAAGAGGAAGAGAAAACAAAACAGACAAATAAACATACCCAGAGAAAGGATCAGCACAGCCCTGATGCACTTAGATAAGCCAAGAACCTCAAGAAAAAATTGAATTGTCCTGGTGAGGTTAGGCCAAGAATTAAAAAAAATCACAGGTTCTTAGAGAAGACAGAGGCACAAGAGGTGAGAACATGGAGAGGAGTCTGGTTCGTGTTTCAGAATGTTCTCTCTGCTGGACCTGTTAAAAGAAAGCTAGGTATTAAAAGAGCAGGACCCTAACCGATTCCTGCTGGCATTGCTGTTGAAGGAGAGGGGTGCGGTGAGGCTTCAGGTTCCGTTTTTACGTGGGTTCCATCTTACACCAAGATGTTCAAGGGTGTGGGGGATTGTGCTTTAAAGCCTTTTGCCATGCTCTCATGTGCCACGTGGGTTTTGCTAGATGTTCATCATGGGCTACTCGGTGGTAGCTGGAGCCACAGGAAGACTCCTTTTCGGCTACGACAGCTTTGGCAATGTGTGTGGCAAGAAGAACTCTCCAGTGGAAGGGGCTCCTCTTTCAGGGCTGGACATGACCCTCAAAAAGTAAGTCCCTAACCTGTCAGCAAAAACCAAACCCAGTGCCATCAAGTCAATTCCAACTCACAGTGTAGGACAGAGTAGAACTGCCACATAGGGTTTCCAAGGCTATAAATCTTTACAGAAGCAGACAGCCTCATCTTTCTCCCACGGAGTGACTGGTGGGTTCAAACCACCACCAGCCCTTTAGTTAGCAGCAGATGCTTTAACCACTATGCCATCAGAGCTCCTATTTCTCAATCTATAAAGAGCCTGTGTTTCAAAACTTTGTTTGAATTAGTCATCTGGAACCTGGAAACTCTTTTCCCATTCAAAAACTAACAGCACATCTCATAAAAAAAAAAAAAAATTCAAATTTGCGGTCTGCTACTTATCAGCTGTGTGACATTGGGCAAAGTACTTAACCTCTGTGAACTCAGTTTTCATATTTTTTAAACTGGTTATTATTATGCCAGTTCCTCACAAGGTTGTTTTAAGGATCCACTCAGCCACTGCATGAGCTAAAAAAAAAAAAAAAACCTAACACACTGCCGTGGAGTTGGTTCCAACTCATAGTGCCCCCTCCTTGGGTTTCCGAAGCAGTATCTCTACGGTAATAGATTGCCCAATCTTCCTTTCGAGGAGTGGCTGGTGGGTTTGGACTGGTTAGCAGTCAAATGCCTTAGGCACTACGCCACCAGAGTTGTTACTTGTAATCATTGATATCCATAATGTATCAGAATTACATTACCAGTGGTATCTATGAACCCTACTGCTGCTCACAACATTGCTTCTAGGTGGAAATCCCTGAATCCCAGCTCAAAACACTGGCACCTGTGTCTCTCCCCCACCTCCCCAGCCTACAGTGTCCGCTATGGCACTGCAGACCAAACCAAAAACCAGACTCACTACCATTGAGTCAGATCTGACTCATAGCAACCCCTTCTTGGGTTTCTGAGGCAGTGTATCTGTGGAAGTAGATTGCCCAATCTTCCTTCCAAGGAATGGCTGGTGGGTTTGAACCACCAGGCTTCTGGTTAGCAGTCAAATGCCTTAGGCACTACGCTACCAGAGCTCCCTGGCACTGTGGAATCTCATTCTTTTTCTTTCCAAATTCAGGCCTCAGAGAGTGAAATTCAACACAGAAGCAGAAAGGGAAAAGAAGAGATGGGACACTTCTGGGGAGAGAGAAATCCCTGGCCATGTTTTCCTCATATGGAGGCTGCCTTATCATAATTTTTGAGACTTGATGATCAAAAGCAGGTCCTACGAGAGAAATCTTAAGGGTATATAAATAGGTCTTGTGTGTAAGTTTGGTGCCACCAAATATAAGTTTAGACCAGCCCTCTTATTCTAAATGTTGCTTCAGAGGAGAGGGTTTGTGTGTTCTGGGCATGGGTTGCGAGAGAAACACTTCCCCCTGCATTTACAAATTACAAAGAAGACGAGGAGGAAGGGGCGGCCCAGATGGTCCAGCTGTGCTCGTAATTTATTATATTAATAACATTGCTGAGAGTCATCCCTCTTGGAAGGAAAAAGCATATATTTATCAGAATCAGGAAATCTGTTCTGGCATTTTCTATTGTACTTCTTCCCTATCTCCCATCCCCATTTGAAAGGAAAAAAAAAAAAAAAAGCTTCTTTTTCAAGATCTTTTCCTGCAAGGCTCTTCCTCTGACACTTCTCTAATCTCTACAGCTTGGGTGAGTGTGAGGCTAGGGCTCTAGACCTGCCATTGCTAGCTCAGCATGTTCCCATTAATGATAATGCCAACCAATTTTAGTCTTGTGGCACACCTTCCTAATGGCTGGGTAGCTTCAGTAGGAAGGGTCTCATGAGATTCCTGGGGGGAGGAGGTGAAGGGGCAAACCTTTAATCCACAGCCTAGTCCTCCTTCTTTCCACCTTTCACTTCCCTGTGTTTAGCTATTCTCAAAGTATATTTGGATACCCTTAGGTGCAAATATGAGTGGTACAAATGGTTAAATGCCCTGCTGTTAATCTAAAGGTTGGAGGTTTGAATCCACCTAGATTGAGCTCTGGTGGCATAGTGCCTAAGGCATCTGACTGCTAACCAGAAGGCTGGTGGTTCAAACCCACCAGCCACTCTGCAGAAGGAAGACTGCGCAATCTACTTCCATAAAGATTGACTGCCTTGGAAACCCAATGGGGGTCACTATGAGTCAGAATAGACTCAATGACAATGAGTAGTGCCTCAGAAGAAAGGCCTGGTGATCCACTTCCAAAAAAAATCAGCCACTGAAACCCCGTGGAGCACAGTTTTATTTGACACACATGGCATCGCCATGAGTTGAAATCAACATGACAACAACAAAACAACAACAAAAAAAAAACCCAAACCACTGCCATCGAGTTGGTTCTGACTCACAGTGACCCTATAGGACAGACTAGAACTGCCCCATACAGTTTCCAAGTTTATAAATCTTTACAGAAGCAGACTGTCTCATCTTTCTCCTATAGAGTGGCTGGTGAGTCCAAACCACCGACCTTCTGGTTAATAGCTGAATGCCTTAACCACTGCACCACCAGAGCTTCTTTCAACAACAACTAGTTAGCTACAAATATGCTTTTTATGGATTCCACTGAATAATCTAGGCATTTCTAGTTATCCCCCAGAAAACACTGACTCTGGAAAACAAAAGTTCTCTTAACATTGGTTCCCAGTCTGCCCGACTCCATAGATCAGTCCTCTCACTCATTGCCCTAGAGTCGGACCAGACTCATAGTGACCCCTCCTTGAGTTTCCTAGGCAGTATCACTCTGGAAGTAGATTGCTCAGTCTTCCTTCTGAGGAGTGACTGGTGGGTTTGAACTGCCAGCCTTCTGTCCTAGTTGTTGTTGTTGTTGTTGTTGTTATGTGCTGTCGAGTCATAGCCAACTCATAGCGACCCCTCCTTGGGTTTCTGAGGCAGTACCATGATGGAAGTCCATTGTCCAACCTTCCTTCCAAGGAGTGGCTGTGGGTTTGAACTGCCAGCCTTCTGTCCTAGTTGTTATTGTTGTTGTTGTTGTTGTTATGTGCTGTCGAGTCATAGCGACCCCTCCTTGGGTTTCTGAGGCAGTACCACGATGGAAGTCCATTGTCCAACCTTCCTTCCAAGGAGTGGCTGTGGGTTTGAACTGCCAGCCTTCTGTCCTAGTTGTTGTTGTTGTTGTTGTTGTTATGTGCTGTCGAGTCATAGCGACCCCTCCTTGGGTTTCTGAGGCAGTACCACGATGGAAGTCCATTGTCCAACCTTCCTTCCAAGGAGTGGCTGTGGGTTTGAACTGCCAGCCTTCTGGTTAGCAGTAGGCATAGTAAATATTAAATTACTTTGCAACAGTTGATTGTAAATGTTTGCTTAGTAATTCCCACATTTGATAGCATGTGTACACATTTACATTTTTTTAAGGCCTACAGTTAAACCTGGGAAGGGGAAATACTCTAAGACATTCTTCTATTTTATCTACCTCCTAGACATGTATTCTTTATGAATTCCTGCAACCTGGATGTCAAAGATGTTAGGCTCAATTCCATTGTCCTCTGCATATCCAGCTGCCCGGAAGAACAGCTTGACACCCTGGAAGAGATCCAGCTCTTTGCCAACAACAGTGGTAGGCACTAAGGGACCAACTTCGCTTTTCCCCTCCCCCAAGGGCAGAAACAGAGTAGGATAACCTGAGGGAACCTACATGAAATAGCTTGTCCTGATGCTCCTTTCTCTGGAAATTAGAGTATTGTACTTCCTGGTGGGTGCTTCTTCTTGGATGGAAAGGCCATAAACATTTTCTCTGTGGCTGGGTCAGTTTCACTCAGGTTTGTCTGGATTTACATGAAACTCTAGCTGCTCCCTGCTGATGCTCCTCACATACACAGAGAGGATAATATAGACAGGCAGATGTGGCCCACGTGTACTGACTTACATTAGGGGCTGGAGGGCAGGGTTAGAGGGGAGGTCAAAGTGCTCTGTGCACATCAAGCACATCTGGCACTCCCTGGCTTCACTTGGAATTGCCAAAGAGAGTGATGTTTATGGAGTCCCTGGGTGGCAAATGGTTAACACACTTGGCTGCTGACCAAAAGGTTAGCTCTGACTCCACCCAGAGGCCCTTCAAAAGAGAGGCCTTGTGGTCTACTTTTGAAAAATCAGCCATTTAAAACACTTTGGAGCAAGATGACTGTGGTTACCAGGAGTAATAGGGAGGGGAAAAGGGGAAGCTTTTGTCTGTGGGGCATTAAGTTTATGCTAATAAGTGGTGGAATATTTTGGAAAAAGGATAGCAATACTGGTAGCACAACATGAAAAATGTTGTCAATGTCCCTGAGCTGTAGATAGGGAAATTGTAATGTTGGCGACTGTCTGTATATGTTTTCACCACAATAAAATTAAAAAAAAAAAACTTTGGAGGACAGTTCTACTTTAACACACATGGGGTCATCAGAGTCAGAACTGACTCAAATGGTTTGGTTTATGTTTTTTTCAGTCAAATATTGGGGCCGTGGATACTTTGACCGACTGAGTAGGGTAGTCTTAAGTTATACCAAAAGCATTTGTGTTACTGAGATACTCTGCTTTGGGCCCACTCTTTAGATTTACGTTACAAAGTTTAAATAAGCAAAGGAAAGGCAAAGAAATTCAAGGCAGCACCTTACAGATTTTATGTGTCTGTGATAGGATGTACCAATTGCTTTTTGTTTTTTTGTATTTTTTTTTTTAAAGAAATATTTGCAAGCCTGGGTTAAAAGTATCAAGCTTATGTAATAAATCATCTTCAAGGAAACTTCAAATTATCTTAGTACTAAACATATAACTTTTCATTTTTAATATGGAGTTTTGGAGAATAAGAAAGAAAAGACCTAACTTGACCTCTGACTGTATACCTACTCTTTTTGTGTTTGGATCATCTGTGGACCTGTTTTCTAAATCTAAGGTGTTTATTCTGTTTCTTTCCTGGTTTGGTAGAATGAGTGTGTTTTGCTTACCTTCTTCACTAGGAATATAAGCACAATATAGCAAGATGGTATAATCTGTGTGTCTTCTGCTTTTAGGGTCCTTCCTATGTGTTTATAGTTTGGATTCCTTCAACTATACTCAGAATCCAAATGCTGATTCACTGTGCCCCAGGCTACCTGTTCCTCCAAGGTAAAAATTTCTATACCTTTTCCTTATTGATCAAAAAACATTAAAGAATTCTTGATAAACATTTGTTACTCCTCTAGGTGTGTGGGAGGCACAAAGGAGATGCCAGGTCAAGCCCCACAAGGAGCTTATAGTCTATGGGAGGCCAAAGATAAACAATAAGACACTATTTGTAATATACATGACAGTGGATCAATAACCAGGCTAAGTAAGGAGAAAGCTCAACAAACAATAAGGAAACATACAGTCTTCAAACAACAACAGTAGGACCAGCAAAAAGTAATGTGAATGACTGCCAAATGAGTGAGTTTTTAAAGTATTTGAGTGTATGTTTTCTACTACAACTATGTATTGTTAATGGGCGCCACCACCCTGATTCCAACCGTAGTGACCCTATATGATACAGTAGAACTGCCCGATAGGGTTTTCTAGGCTGTAGTCTTTATGGAAGCAGATCACCAAGTCTTTCTTCTGCAGAGACTCTCTGTAGGTTTGAATTGCCAACCTTTCAGTTAGCAGCCAAGCACTTAACCATCATGCCACCAGGGCTCCTTAACTAAGAATTAGTTTCCTTTCCGTGAAAAGAGACAGCACACTTCTTATCAAGAATGCTTGGTCAGGGGACTCATTTCAGGATCTTACTCATCCCAATCTGCTAGTGTACTACCTGGCACACTGTTGTTGGTTTAGCTGCCATCTAGACAGCCCCGACTCATGGTGGCCCATGCACAACACAGTGAAACGCTACCTAGTCTAGCACCATCCCCGTGATCAATTACAGATCGGAACATTGGGATCCATAAGGTTTTCACTGGCTGATTTTTGAAGATAGATCATCAGGCCTTTCTTCTTAGTTTGTTTCACTGTGAAAGCGTCTCTGACACCTGTTCAGCCCCATAGAAACACACAAAGCCTCCACTGACTGACAGATAGGTGGTGGCTGAACATAAGGTGCATTGGCCAATAATTGAACCTGGGTTTCCTACATGGAAGGTGAGAATTCTACCACTGAACCACCAATTCCTCATCTGGCACAGATGTTAGGTGCCGTCAAGTCTGTTCCGACTCATAGTGACCCTGCATACAACAGAATGAAACACTGCATGGTCCTGCTTCATCCTCACTATTGTTGCTGTGCTTGAGCGCCTTATCACAGCCACCGTGTCAATCCATCTCATTGAGGGTCTTCCTCTTTTTTACTGACTCTCTACCAAGCAGGAGCTCTGGTAGCGTAGTGCCAAAGGCACTTGACTGCTAATCAGAAGGCTGGCGGTTCAAACCCACCAGCCACTTCTCAGAAGGAAGGTTGGACAATCCACTTCTGTAGAAATCCCACCTTGAAAACCCAAGGAGGGGTCGCTATGAGTCGGGTCTGACTTGACAGCATATAACAACAACAACAACTTTACCAAGCATGATGTCCTTCTCCAGGGACTGGTTACTCCTGATAACATGTCCAAAGTACATGAGATGAAGTCTCACCATCTTCACTTGTAAGAAATATTCTGGCTATACTTCTTATAAGACATATTGCTTATTCTTCTAGCCCATAGTATATTCATTATTCTTTGCCAAGACCAAAATTCAAATGTATCAATTCTTCTTCGGTTTTCCTAATTTCATTGTATAGCTTTTGTATGTGTATGAGGTGATTGAAAATACCATGGCATGGATCAAGTGCACTTTAGTCCTCAGGGTATCATCTTTATTTATGAACACTTTAAAGAGGTCTTTTGCAGTTGATTTGCCCATTGCAATGAATCATTTGATTTCTTGACTGCTGCTTCTGTGGACATTGACTGTGGATCCAAGTAAAATAAAATCCTTGACAACTTCAATCTTTTCTTCATTTATCATGATGTTGCCTAATAGTCCAGTTATGAGGATTTTTATTTTCTTTATGTTGAAAGAATCAACATGCTGTAGTCTTTGATCTTCATCAATAAACGCTTCAAGTCCTCTTCGCTTTCAGCAACCAAGGTTGTGTCATCTGCATGTCGCTCATTGTAATGAGTCTTCCTCCAATCTTGAGGAAGTGTTTTTCTTCATATAGTATAGTTTCTTGTGTTATGCCTTTAATGAAATAGAATGTTTGAAGATTGATATCCTAGGCATTAGTGAGCTTACATGGACTGGTATTAACCATTTTGAGTAAGACAGTCATATGGTCTCTTATGCCAGAAATGACAAATTGAAGAGGAATGGTATTGCATTCACTGTGAAAAAGAACATTTCAATATCTATCCTGAAGTAAAACACTATCAGTGATATGGTAATAAGCATACACCTACAAGGAAGATCAGTTAATACAACTATTATTCAAATTGATATACGTACCACTAATGCCAAAGATAAATAAATTGAAGATTTTTACCAACTTCTGCAGTCTGGAATTGATCAAATATGCAATCAAGATACATTGATGATTGCTGGTGATTGAAATGCAAAAGTTAAAAACAAAGAAGAAGGATCAATAGTTGGGAAATACAGCATTGGGGAAAGAAATGACAGCAGAAATTGAATGATAGAATTTTGTAAGACCAATGATCTATTCATCAGAAATACCTTTTCTCAACAACATAAACAGCAACTATACACATGGACCACATCAAATGGAATGTTGTTGTTGTTGTTGTTGTTTGCCGTCGAGTCAGCCCCGACTCATAGCGACCCCTCCTTGGGTTTCCGAGGCAGTATCACTACGGAAGTAGGATTGCCCAACCCATCAAATGGAATACACATAACCAAATCAACTATATTTGTGGAAAAAGACAATGGAGAAGCTCAATATTATCAGTCAGGACAACATCAGGGACCAGCTGTGGAACAGACCATCAGTTGCTCATATGCAAGTTCAAATTGATGCTGAAGAAAATGAGAACATATCCACAAGAGCCAAAGTATGACCTTGAGTATGTTGTTGTTGTTGTTATGTTGTTGTTATGTTGTTATGTGTCGAGTTGGACCCGACTCATAATGACCCCTCCTTAGGTTTCCAAGGCGATATCACTACGGAAGTAGATTGCCCAATCTTCCTTCTGAGGAGTGGCTGGTGGGTTTGAACCGCCAGCCTTCTGGTTAGCAGTCAAGTGCCTTGAGTATATCCCACCTTAATTTAGAGACTATCTCAAAAATAGATGTGACACATTGAACACTAATGACTGAAGACTAGACAAGTTGTGGGATGAGATCTAGCACATCATACATGAAAAAAGCAAAGGATCATTAAAAAAAAAACAGGAAAGAAAAAAGGAACAAAATAGATGACAGAAGAGGCTCTAAAACTTACTCTTGATCATGGAATAACTAAAGCAAATAGAAGAAATGATGAAGTAAAAGAGCTCAACAGATTTCAAAGAGTGGGTCAAGAAGACAGTGTAAAGTATTACAATGAAATGTGCAAAGACCTGGAGTTAGAAAACCAAAAGAGAGGAACACACTTGGCATTTCTCAAACTGAAAGAAGAAAAAATTCAAGCCTCGAGTTGCAGTGTTGAAGGATTATATGGGCAAAACATTGAACAATGCAGGAAACATCAAAGAAAGATAGGAGGAATACACAGGATCACTGTACCTAAGAGAACTGGTCGATGGCCAGCCATTTCAGAAAGTAGCAAATGATTAAGAACCAATAGTATTAAAGGAAGAAGTCCAAGCTGCGCTGAAGGCGTTGGTGAAAAACGAGGCTGCAGGAATTGATGAGATACCAACTGATATGTTTCAACAAACAGATACAACATTGGAAGTGCTCACTTTTCTATGCCAAGAAATTTGGAAGACAGCTACCTAGACAACCACTGGAAGAGATCCATATTGGTGCCCATTCCAAAGAAAGGTGATCTACCAAAATGTGGGAATTATCACACAGTATCATTAATATCACACGCAAGTAAAATTTTGTTGAAGAAAATTCAAAGATGATTGCAGCAGTACATCAATAGGGAACTGCCAGGAATTCCAGCCAGATTCAGAACAGGATGTGGATTGAGAGATACCATTGCTGATGTTAGGTGAGTCTTGGCTGGAAACAGAGAATACCAGAAAGATGTTTACCTATGTTTTATTGACTACGCAAAGGCATTCGTCTGTGTGGATTAAAACAAATTATGGGTAACATTGCGAAGAATGGGAATTCCAGAACACTTAATTGTGCTCATGTGGAACCTATACAGAAACCAAGAGGCAGTCATTCAAACAGAACAAGGGGATACTGCATGGTTTAAAGTCAGGGTGTGCATCAAGCTTTTATCCTTTCATCATGTTTAGTTAGTCTGTATGCTGAGCAAATAATCTGAGGCACAAATTAGGCATCTATCTTATAAATATTTGTAAACCCACATGATGAAGCAGCAACTTCACTGTCATGGTAGACGGCTCGTATATGCACCTTTGAGAAGCCTTTGTTGTTATTGTGTGCCATTGAGGAAATACCAACTCAGAGTAGAACTGTCCCATAGGGTTTCCTTGATTATAATATTTACAGTAGCAGATTGCTAGGTCTTTTCTCCCACTGAGAAGCTGGTGGGTTCAAACAGCTGAACTTTTAGTTAGCGTCTGAGTGCTTAACCATTGTACCACCAGGGCTCCTTTGAGGTTAATGAGTAAAATATAATGAATATTCATTGCCTATTTTAGGATGCTGAGATGTATTAAAACAGTTCTTGGATTTATTTGTATTGCCATTCTTTTGGAGAATGTATGTTTTCAGTGAATGAGACCTCTGTGCAAGCCCTGAGAAATTACGGTAATTTAAATAAAGCAAGGCATCGTGCCAGTTCGCTAGCACAGTGTTTATCAGACTCTTGGCTAAGACCCACAGTGAGAGGTACAGTGAAACCTGTGCAAGCTGGAACATGACAGGGCTGCCTTGTTTTTGCAGATCTCACAAGTTTTCCACCTTTGACAAGGGGCAGTCTTACCACTTTCTATTGCTCATTTTAATGGAAAATATGTGAGTTTTCCTTCTGTGACAGGTTCTGCCTTACATGGGTTCTGACTTTCACA